TTGCTTCCTCCAATAAATTTTGATTTGTTTCCTTCAATAAGCTATTGAATTATAAATGTATTTTAAAAGTAGATAACTTTTGTATTTCTTATCGGTTTTACATATATAATATATCAAATTAATCATCTTTTGATTATCTTCGATTTGACATCCATATTGTATATATAAAATAAATAAATTATATTTAACTTTACAATAATAAAAAATAATAATATTTATTAAAATTCATTAGAAAAATAAAATTATTTCTCATTTGATATATTTATATTTAATGTAGTTATATAGTGTAAGTTAAAAAATTAGTATAATATAACACAAGTAAGTCGCACAAATAAAAAGTATCATAATAAATATAATATATATATATATATATTCTTATAAAAGGTATTTAAATTTTCAAACTACTTTTTCTCATTAATTTTAAATTTTAAGAAAAAAATAGCAAGCACCCGTGTAATACACGGGTGTTGTACTAGTAATAATATTAATAAGGTATAAATGTGACAGTATATAAAAAGGATAAAAACCTGAGATTTGACAGGGGTGCGATGATATGGGAATCAATTAAATTAATTAAAACTTATCAGCCACTTAATTCGTTTCTCAACACTTAAGATCTAACGTGTAAGATTTATGAAGGTTTTTGTTTCGATTAGAGCTATAAACATGTCGAGCCAAGTTCGAGCTTGGAGTGCTCAAACTCGAGCTCGAACCTTTAGCGAGCTCAGTCGAGCTCGGCTCGTTAGGTAAACGAGCATGAAATTGAGTTCAAGCTCGAGCTCGTGGCGCTCGTTAAGGCCACGAGCTCGAGCTTTAACGGCCAACTATAAAAAATTATATAAAAATTCTATTTCGAGTATTAAGAGTCTTATCGAGCCGAACTCGTCAAACGAGCTTTAAATAAGCTCGAGCTCGGCTCGCCTCAAACTCGAGCCGAGTCGAACCAAACCCACTTAATTTAATAGCACTAGTTCCGACTAAAATATATTAATTTTAAGCTATGTCCAACCGTAGGTATTTGAGGCCATTTGTCAAACAAATAAGAAATATCAATAAAAAAAAAACATTTAATTAGTACATTTACGAGTCTAACATATAATATAATTTATTTTTTGTTATATATATTATCATAAATAATAACTTAATATTAAATGTTTAGATAGGTATAATATTATCAACTTAGGCCAATTCTCTTGATAAAAGACTTGTTTGTTTACCTTCTTAGAGCATCTCCAATGCTCAACTTTCAACATTAAATAAATTTGAACACATGTCAATCAATGAAATAATGTTTAATCTACATGAATTGAATGTTAAAAGAATAAGACTTTCATTTGAATTGTTACCTCCAATGCATCCATTCAACAACCATACAATTTGTATATGTGGATTTATTTATTTATTAATAAAGTAAAAGTGTATATTAGAAAAAAAAAACCACAAATCCCAATAATTATATGCATGATTTTTATTTTTTTTTGTTAGTTCTGTTATTTTTATTTATATCACCAAATTTATACAATTATTATTTATTAGTAATTTTTCATTTACAATATGTACAACCACACAATTAATATTTTTTTAATCTTTTTAGAAGAAAACCACAAAACATAAAAAACTACAAAAAAACTCAACAAACAAATATAATGAACACAATATTTTTATTTTTCATGACATTATTATTGATAAATTTTTTTAATTTTAGTTGTAACTCATTATCAAATGATTCTATTGTATACATATATATTACCAAAATATTTATTGGATTAATGGAAGGGTGAGATTTTTCCAAGTTTATAAAAAGCTCCAAATTTAAGTAATTTGTGCATATAATTACTCAAATGCTTAGTCATCATGTTACAAAGAATGTGAGAAATTAGAAAGTGAGCTTGACAATGTTAACATTAATTTTTTACACATAAGCATGAAAGAGCCCATAATTTAATGCATTGGAGGATAAATTATTCACACACTTTCTATCTAGATGATGTGGATAACTTTGTATTCTTTCAAAAGAATGCATTAGAGATGCTCTTAGTGTGTGTTTGGTTGCAATAATGGATTTGATTAATTTATGTTGGAACTATTCACTTTATGCATTTGATACAATAAGGCCCATTAAACATGTTTGTTTCAAGTTTGATAAAAATAACCAAAATGCAACACTACATTTTTTCCCTCCATATTAAATTAAGTTTGTAAATGTTGCCCTCAAGAAATAGACGTCGTGTTCATTTCCTTCACCTCTCTGCAAACCTCAATCATAACATTTTTTTCTATCAATTATACCAAAAAAGCCCCCCAAACAAGGCGATTTGTGATGCTAATTGCAACGGAATTATCTAAAACTCGAAAGTCAAAATTAACAATTATTTTACGCCACCTGAAATTGAGAAAAAATTTCACACCCATAAAGAATTTGGCCGTTCTACATCCAACACCTGCCCCACTACCGTCGCCACCACCACAACCACCATCTCAGGTATGAAAACATTCTCCGTCCTCCCAATTTCCATCCACAATCCTATTTACATAATATCCCCCGTCATTGCCTTTTCCACCCCACCAATAGCATATCCTTCTCTTCCTACCGCCGCGACCGCCACTATATTGTTGCTTGGGCACCCTCATCTCCCTTCTCTCTCCAATTCACTCCATCCTTATCCGCATTGCCAGGACCGACTATTTGGGGAGGCAGCCTAGGCCCATGCCTAGGACCTCCATATATTTGGGTCCCATTTTTTTTTTAGTATAATGTATTTGTGTTGGATTTGGCTTATTTACACAAATGAAGGGGCTAATGAATAAATATGAACTTGACCCATTACACAAATAAAAGAGGCTAATTAATGGATGAGTTAATGGCAGAATATGTACTTGCGTGGAGATTCATGGCCCTAGATATTTTATTTATTTTCTTATGATGTTCGGAACAATTGTGTGAGAATAAATATTCTTTGCATTAATATAGTTTTTATTTTCTTCTCCTTGTTGTACTCGTGACTGCTTAAATGTCATTTTTTAAAGATCTTTGTAACCAATAGGCAATTTATCAATTCTAAGTTCAAGAAAAATAGAAAAAATTATTTGTTTTTAATTATTTATTTATTTAATAGTTTGTTTAGTTAGGTGTTTTTCTTCTATAATTCTATACGCATATAGCTCTAATTACCACGCAAGTTCAAATCAAAAAATCAAAATGGAAAAACTTGCCTTGGACCTCCAAATTTCTGGAGACGGCCCTGCGCATTACAGTCACATTATTCCTCCTCCACTACCGTTGTCTAAGATCCAATATAACACACACCTGTGACTAGTCAATGATTATCCTATGCTGAGCACTTTCCAAAACTGCCCGACTGGGCTGTTCGAGTGCCCGAGCTACCCGTTCGTACTATCTGAGTGCCCAAATCACCCAATTATGTTAGTCATGTGGTCTTATCCACGTGTCCTTATTTTAATTATATTCATTATTTTCTATTATGTGGTGTGTTCACATTAATCTATTTCATTAGGTAACTTAGTTATGTTACTAGCTCAGTTTTCCTTGAACTATGTTTCTCCGACCTTTTGTGGATAAGCTTATGTCGCAGGTCATACATCGACCTGCAAACCTCCAGCTAGAGTTTCCATCAGCTAGTCGAGAGCCCTAACTCGACCTGGTCGCAGACTATCTTACTCGTAGGGTAACTATCGACCTGGTGCTTCTACGACCTCTGACATCCTTGTTGTCTGACCAATCTACCAGTTCATCTGATCCGGTCAGACCACGACCTGATATGGCATCCCGTGTCATTCTCGATGTATGCTAATTCTTTTATTGTCAAATAACCTTCATTTTATAAAAGTCCATTAATAAATGTAGCTCAAGAATCGCACGAGTTGCGTACTAGTTTAAAATAAAAAAATAATATAGTTGAATTAATGAATTACTTTATCACCCTATATATTAAATCAGAATGCGCTGAGCCTACGTGACTGCTGTTGGTGCTTCAGAATCATATGTGACAAAATTACATGCTTCATTATTAGACTTGGGTAAATTTTAATTCAATTTCAAACCAAAAATAATTAAGTTCGGATTACCATAAATATGTTGATTATTTAAGGTCATGTTACATGTATTAATTGCATTTTAATATCATTCCTTGTTATAATTATTAAATTGCATATATATTTTAAAAGTTAATAGCTTTTGTATTTTTTATCAGTTTTACATATGTAATATATCAAATTAATCTCCTTTTGATGAGCTTCGATTTAATATCCATATTGTATATATATAAAAAAATATTTATATTTGTATTTATAACAATAATAAAATTATTTTTAATATTAATTAAAAAAATAAAATTATTTATCAACTAATATATTTATATTTCAAGTAGTTATATGATATAAGTTATAAAAACTAATGTAATATAACACATGTAAGTCATAACACATATCATTCTAAAATATATAGTAATATATATATATTTTTTTTTGTAAAAAAGAAAACTAAATTTAATATTATTTTCTCATTAATTTTAAAATTTAAGAATAATTTTTTAACAAGCACCCGTGTAATACACGAGTGTTGTACAAATCATATAATGTAATTGAAAATTATCAAATTTTATAAATTGAAAATGTGTTGGTTGCATGAATCTCTACCCGCAACAATATCCCTCGGGTCTTCTCCATTCATTTACTTGTATGACATGACAACCCCTCGAAAATGTGGTCATCATGAATTCGAGTTGAACCGCCTCGTCAATAATCGATAACCAATCCACAACAAAGCTGGTCGCAATGGAGGATATATCAGCGGAATAGAGTTACTATCGGACTCGTTGAGACCGGAGTTGTGTTCTCTTCGAGTGAATAATAAATTTCAAATTCTGTACTCTTCAAGTGAATAACTAATTTCAATTTTTATATAGTGCCAACAGTTTCAAAGTCTATAAAGAAAATTCCATAATTCAATCAAAGACAGCAAAGCTTTCCATCCCCAACCACTAAAAGCAACCACCCCCACGCAGCCTAAGCACGAGGTGAAGTGTCGACTCCTTCTGAATGTTATAATCCGCTAGAGTCCTCCCATCTTCAAGTTGTTTCCCTGCAAAGATCAATCTTTGCTGGTCGGGTGGTATTCCCTCCTTGTCCTGAATCTTCGCCTTCACATTATCAATCGTGTCCGAGCTCTCAACCTCCAGCGTAATCGTCTTCCCAGTCAAAGTCTTCACAAAAATCTGCATCCCACCACGAAGCCGCAGGACAAGATGGAGGGTCGACTCTTTTTGAATAATGTAGTCAGCAAGAGTTCTTCCATCTTCAAGTTGTTTTCCGGCAAAGATCAACCTTTGCTGGTCAGGCGGGATTCCTTCCTTGTCTTGGATTTTGGCCTTGACATTATCGATTGTGTCTGAGCTCTCGACTTCAAGGGTGATGGTCTTGCCGGTTAGGGTTTTGACGAAGATCTGCATGCCACCACGTAAACGGAGGACAAGGTGGAGGGTCGACTCTTTTTGAATATTGTAGTCAGCAAGAGTTCTTCCATCTTCCAGCTGTTTTCCGGCAAAGATCAACCTTTGCTGGTCGGGCGGGATTCCTTCCTTTTCTTGAATCTTGGCCTTGACATTGTCGATTGTATCCGAGCCCTCGACTTCAAGTGTTATGGTTTTTCCAGTGAGGGTTTTGACGAAAATCTGCATGCCACCACGTAAACGGAGGACAAGGTGAAGAGTCGACTCCTTCTGCATATTGTAGTCGGCAAGGGTTCGGCCATCCTCAAGCTGCTTACCGGCAAAGATGAGGCGCTGCTGTTAGATCTATTTGGGATTAAATATGTGTAATTAATACATTGGGTCATTATATTGTTTAGCCAAAATAAAGTGATCATATTATTGTACATTGGCTAAGGAACTTAATTTTGATTGTGGAATGATTAAATGTGGACACCCGGGCTCACTGAGACCTGGATGTCGGCTCCCAACATGAGAATAAATTTGACACCCGGGCTCACTGAGACCAAATGGTCCAAACCAAGAAAACAAACCTAACCACCAAACACAAACACCACACGAACAACACAACACAACACAACACAACAAAACAACAACACTAAAAGAAAGACAACAAACCCTCTTGGTTATTTGCTTATTTTCTATTTCTCTTGCTTTTGCTATGTGTGTTCGTGTAAATATCGTGTCGTGTT